TTATGCAGGCAAAATCTAGCATGAACACGATGTCAATCAAACAGGAGCGGCAACCTTGTCGTAGTTACAGCTTTACTGCATAAGATCCGGAAGAAGATGTGCATATGGACTTATCCGCAGTGAAAGACAAAAGTGAGTTTGTCCAAGGCTCCTGACACCTGAGACAACAGAGAACTTTTAAGTTTTTTGCAAACCAAAGCAACGGTATGTGTATGCTGGAAAAAAGCAGTTCATGTATCGTGAGTGAGCATAGGAGACCATACTTTGTGGATAGTTAAGCAGGCCTATCTAGTGTGCATGATGACCACTGATTTCCTCCTCAGGTCCAGGTTCTGCTATACAAATAATGGTATGAGAATATGTATGGTAAAGAAGGCGAAGATATATGCAGGCTGGAGTTAAAAAAAACCTTCACTGTTACCTTGGAAGTGTAGAATACAATTGAGGGCAAACTGACTAACTATTATTGAATGACAAAAAAAAGACCATATATACAGTCCCAAGCTTTGGCTAAGCTGTAAACTCGACTCTCAAACCTCCATCCACTAACCCACGTCCTGAAAATCAGCAACCCCTCTAACCACTATTGACCCCTGCTGTAGAACTACTACTAAATGACTCTAAACAAATCTGTCCTTTAAATTCAGCTCTAAGAAACCACTAAACGACTCAGCAGCAATTCAAAACGACACACAAACCTAAGGACACTAACTTATTCCAACAATGCCTCCCCTAAACTGAAGTCTGCTAAGGCTTCAGTTTATTTCATTACTTCAACTCCTCTGCAATCCTTAGTCCTGCCACTTGATCTTTGGATTTCAGTATGCTTAATATGCAGCCACCAAATCCTGTGAAAGTGAAGCCCCCCTTACACATGCGATTAGTTCCCTCCACTCTCACAGTCACCAATCAAATCCCCTTTCTCAAGATTCAATCTTTTCGAATGCTCATCCACTTCTTCACCTCTACTAGTTAGCTTTGACTTCAGTTTATTTATCTCTACTCTAAACTGAATCACCTGAGCATCAAGCAAAGTCTTCATCCCGATCTATTCTGCATCACTTTCTTTGATTTTTGCCTTCAATTTGATACTGCAATTCTGACCTTTCAGCATGGACTTTTACCTCGATGGCAAGCATTGCAGCTTTCAGCACCTTCCCTCTTCTATTCTCCATCTCAACAACACTTCTTCTTTCAACTTCAAGATTTCCTTCTCTAACTTTGATCTCTCTTTCAGCCGATAGGAGTTGAGATTGCAAAATTTTGGTATCCTTTCTGAACTCATTCTTCAACCAGGAGAACAAAGAACACCATTCCAGAAACTATAACATGCACCATATTATACACATCACTGCAGCTATAAAAAACAAGCTTATTGACAAAACCAGCTCTCCCAAAAAAAAAAAAACCACCAACCACCGCCATCTTGCAAGTTCAAAGCCAGCACTGCAGCAACTCCAAAAGACCATAATTCCATCCATAAAAGCACAACTAGCATGAAAGCATATGCAACCCTAATGACTCCAGGAGGACTCCACATCATCTTTACCGACTTATGTAGCAGCAGCGACTTCACTTACATTTGATGCTAGCCTCCAATGAGATTGACTTCAGTTCAACTTCACTTTCGTCTATCTTCTTCATGACAAGGCATGCTCAACTGTTTTCATTCCGGTTTCTTCACTGTACTCTCTAGACCTGTCCTTTCAGATCTCTCCTTCTATGTCATCTGCCAACAAGCGAGAACTGCAACACGAAGAGTTATTTGCAGGTTCTCAAATTGTTACTTGTCGCATAACATAGCAACCGAGTACTTCTAAACCAGCCATTCGCCCACCGAATAAGGACCAGCCACTCTGCTGCCTACTCGTCGAATGACATTGAAACCAAACCTGCTTCACTCACAGATTACACCACCTACTTCACTCGTAGGTATGCCTAGCTGACACTGACACCCAACCTGCTTCACTCACAGGTTACACCACCTACTTGTAGGTATGTCTAGCTGACATTTCCTTAAACAGTTCCCCGAGAAGCCTTGCACAACCGTGGATTCATTAATCCATAATCATTCCCCATCATCTATTTCTCTGATAGCCTCCAAGTTGAACTTATGCTACAATCCCACGCACAAACTTTATAATTTACCAAGGCAGCATCAAAAAGTTGTGTTCTCCTCATCCTGTTTATTCTTAGAGTTGCAGCCTCCCCTGAGCTGAAATCTACTAAACCAAGCTTCAGTTCAGTGTATCAACTTCAGATTAACTCTTCTTCTTCTCAACAAGTTTCTCCATTGTCTCCTCTACCAACCTAATCAATCTTCTTACTCTTCTCCTCAGTTTCTTTTACACCAAGAACCCCAACTGTCTTCTCCAATTCCCTCGCTCTCTTCTTGTTCTCTGCCTTTTGTTTATTTACCTCCTTTGGTTTAACCTCATTGTCTTCCAGCACCTTCTCCAGTAGCATAAACCGCACCTTGGTTCATTGATGTGCTCAGATCGTGATAGAGCCTCGAGACCACAATCTCCTGCTCCCCGGCTCGAGCAACTCTCGAATCCAGCATGTTATGGGTCTATTCCGACTAAGCCAGACATGATACATACTACGAAACTGAACCAGACCAGTCTGCAACTTCAGCTGGAAACCTTTTACCAACATGCCATATGGGATATGGCTCACCATCACTCATCATCGACTCAAGAGGACTTAGTACACTTGCATACATAGATCTCAAAGATCCACTCCCTCCATCGATAGAATAAGCACACTGACTTCCTTCCACATCTTTGGTTTCTTCTTCTTCAAACATAAATGACAAAACCACTCATGCTCAGGGACTACGCTCTCCTAGGACTGATGCAAGACAAGTGAAGTGGCTGCCTTAAAAAACATCACTAAGCAACATCCTTTTCGTGAAATATGAACGAGAACAAACTCTGCATCGCCTACAAGCCGTGCCACCAAAGTGTATCCCAGAACCAGAAGTCTGTATCATCTATCATTTCTTTACCCATCCATACTGAATTGAGCTCCACATTCAATCATGATGGTGACGAAGGGCAACTATATTCATACTAAAACTCATTCAATAACGAGAAAGGTTCTTCCGCATTCTTACCTTTCTTCTATTGAAGACAAGCATATGCGTACTTAGCAGCCTGAAGTGAAGGAAGAGGTGAAACAACCTCAATCTTTGATTCTCCCACGTAGCTGAAAAACTGCTTCTATTCTCCCAGTCCATTCTTTATGAAGCTTCATCTTAGTAGGCAACCAACCCGTCAATTCCATCAATCACCAATTATGGGCTCTCACTAGTCACTATGATGGCGGCAATTGACTCCTTGAACTCATTTCTTTTTGGTATGATCGATCAGTTACAACACGGATTTGCAGAGTTCACCGTCACTTGGCGTCGACCCATTTGGCTACCACAACGATTTATGCTCGGCTCCATAATTCTGTTACCGGCGGCAAACCTCGGAACCTGAACCGTCATCGTGTTCAGCGATTTATGCCCTCTATTGTATTCTACATTTAGCCAATAATTCCTCCCCTCTTGCTGCTTCGTGGTGGTATTCTTGGTCCCCTTTTCACTCGCTTACTTTACCCAAAAATCCCTCTACACAATAGGCGGGCGGCTGCCAAGGCGGCCACCGCCGCCACCGGAACCAAAGTCCCTCTAGAAACTCTCAATCGCACAAACTCACGAAGATACGCTTGGTTACAGTTTGCCTAGGCTCTGATACCACAATGTAGAATACAATTGAGGGCAAACTGACTAACTATTATTGAACTAGAATCAATACCCGCGGCTACGCCGCGAGAACTAAACAACTTGTTGCAGTATGATTGAAAGAGTTAAACTTGTCAAATCCAAATAAGCAAACTCCACTTAGTTAACTTAAGTAAAATATGTCATCAAGTACCATTACAACATAGTGTCTAAGAAAACACAATATATGAATAAATGTCTCGACATCATTAAATATGAGGCAGAGTCTTAATGGGTCTCAAGTCCGAAGGCAAGTGGATTCCATATGGTGATGACTAAAATACGGAATTGCCAATCTTTGTGACTTGTCCATTTCAATTTTGACGGTAAACATCTTTCCCATGACAGAGTTGAGGTAGCGTAGCGACATTGTTGTTGAAGAGGAGAATGCATGAGGTTGAGATGTCATCACTTTCGATATCAATATGAAACCTGTACATAATTTGGTGGAAATGTTGTAAACTTTTGCATTGCTGGTTTGTATAGTATTGTTATAATATGTACCTGGAAATGTTTGAGTTGTGATCAGAAGCACAGTGATGCAATCAGTGAACATGTAACTCAAAGGAAGGCTAGAGCTGACGGGCAACACAGAAGGTGAGATGGTTTTGGCCAGAGCTGAAGCAGGCGATGGTTTCTTATGCAAGTTGTTGTTCCCACTCCAGTGGAAGCAGAGCCGTTATAGTCACTAAGTTAATCAGTGCAAGCAAATAATAGTACAATAAAAACACAAACTGATTATGCTGAGTGCGGTGCCAACAAAATCTGGACAAAAGGAAGGCAAGAAACATACCATGGTAGAAGTTGATGCGACTCTATACTGGTAGCATCAATAGTTTTCTCTCTGTTCTTGTTACTTAATGGTGTACCTGGCATGCTGATCTCTGCTAGTGGAGAATTCAAACTGCATAAAAGTAGAGGTTCAGAATTCACCATAACAAATGCGTGGCTGACAAATGAATCATCAAAGTCACATGCAGGTGAGAAAGGAACACAGGTGAGGTCAGAATTATACTATTCATTGAAGTTTCTAAGCACAACTGATGAACTAAATTCGAGTTATGCTTAACCAAGTGAAGCACAGAAGAGGAAAATGACAAAAACAACACCATCAAAGTCTTCTTGCAGCGGCCGTTGATTAAATTGGCAACAGGGTTACCCTCGAAATGTGGAAGGTAGGTAACAGGGGTGTCATTTCGGTTACCAGTTAACCGGCCGGTTAAATCGATAATTAATCGGTTATTCATTAACTGATAACCGAAGTAAACGAACTTCGGTCGATTATCGGAGGCTGGACGAAATGGTTTTTGGTCTTAAAAGTGGTTTGGTTAACCGATAACCAAGATAACCGAGAAACTGAAGCCTATTTCGGTCGGTTTTCGGTAGGGGGAATGATTATTTCGGCTAATCGATAACCGGCCGATCGGTTACCGGTTATAACCGAAATAACCGAACTGCCACCCCTAGCAGGTAAAAAGGATAATTAGCATGCGAGCGAACCCATACAACTGACTTTGCATCAGCAACTTATAATGAAGCCACTGAAGGTCCAATGAAGTTGTTATAATGATTATGGTAAGAGAATAAAATTTTCAGGATATGGGGTATGCCAGTTAGTGGTAATTCTCTTTTCCACTAACTTCCTTTAGCCTACCATTGGTGACTAACTTCGTCTGCAGCTACTATCTCCGCAGTTCTTATGGGCTTGACCCTGTGGAACTGTAGGTGACATTGCAATGTGAGTTGCAGAAGCATATGTGTTCGATGCATGTGAGTTCCATGCAAACAAAGCATTGAGGGTAAGGAAAAGAGTAGGCAAAATCGGGATAGAAAACATTCATCAAACTTGAAGGCGGCCATGAAGGTAAGTCACCCTAAACTGCAGACCCACTACTACTACAACTTCTACGGAACAATCAGCAGCAAACCCATACAAACAGTCGAAGAGAAGCAGTTCAAGTATAACCATCAAAGTGTTTTACGGAAACACCCGTACGAATCCTACTTAGCATGATTGATTAGGCCTAATCAGCTTTGTAAGAAATGAGAAAGGACAATGGAAGGAATCACAGAATCAAAGAAACCCTTTAAACCCAGCCTGTGAACCCACCAACCCATGCCCTTTGCCATCTAAACAACCCTTACAATGTATCATACTTTGCCAAACAAACTCAGGCAGGCAATTTCTACTAAGCATGTCACATACTTATCCCACAAATCATAATGAAAGACATGAACATAAGCCATTTATGCGATTACATGTCATTGGAGTTTATTTTTGCAACTGGTTACTCTGTACATGGAAAGGCACCAAATGAAGCCCAATATGACCCTAAGTAGAAAGAAATCAGAGAAGTGGTAACTATGTACTGTTATCATTCAGAAGTTTCCCACATTGATGAGCTTAGGAGAGAAAGGAAGGATTGGCAACAGCAACTTGCTTAGGCTAGCTTAATTGAATTTCATTTAAGACATGTGGCAGGCATGAACTGTAAATAAATAAAGAAAATGAGGGAAATATACCACAACAAATGGAGGGATGAGAAGGCGAATGTTAAAATCACTCATGCGGCTCCACCCATTTGAATGAGTTCAGGAAGGGGCAGGTTGTCTGCAAACCCCGCCCATAACGTGATTGAGAGTGAACCTTAACTGCGACCGGTATAGAGTACATCAGGTAGCGGTACACGTAAAACAGAGAAGCGGCAGAAACAAAACAAAAAGGTAACTTACCGTTCATTTTTATGATTACAGTCTCCTTGATTGAACGTTTCTTTTTTATGGAAATAGTTGAGAACATGGACCTAAAGGCGCGAGAACTAAAGCTCATGGGATGGTTTCTTCTTTTTCAATCAATGTACTTCAACCTGTGAAAGCAGATGATGGTAAATATAACTAATATCATGTGGAGGATGAAAAGTCCAGAGATGAGAGGGGAAGGAAACAAACTTGGGAATCACAATCAATGGAAGGTTCTAAAACTTTGAGCAACGAAGTTAAATGACATAATGTGTTGAAACTGCCAAGTTAAATGAACATTGCAGAAGCAGCATCACAACAGCAGGCAAAAAAGTGCAGCAGCACAAAAAAATAGAAATAAAAACTTGAAAAGAAGGATTCTGACAGTAAAAAACACTGCTTCCTAAACATGAATGTGAAATCAAGCAGAATGTTTGTGTAACTCGTAATTTTGAGCCATTGGTAGCAATTCTTTTGTGCTAACAATAAAATAGTTCCTTGACCCATCATTGGCTGCAACATCATCGTACCAGCATTTGTTACAACATCGTTGACTACCCCTTACACAAAAACCAAATGAAATAATAGAATATCTACATGTCAAAACTTCAACTAAATTAAGCAGAGCACAGTGGAAAACAGAAACTATCTGCAGCCAGCAAACTTGCAGAAAGACATGTACATGGCAAGACCTCAACAGAAGTTGCAGAACAAATATCAAACATGTATATGCATCAATATGAGCAAGCATCATTACTTCAAAAGAGCCGGCAGGTAAAAGCAAAAGAATGGCTCACACAAAAGCTAGCCAAGCAGTAGCTGCGATATACATCTTCTGATTGGTATACCTAATTTCAAGAATAATACCAACTTCACATACTTTTGGAGTTTTGTTACAACCCATAAGTCGCTCATTAGACGAACCCCTAGAAGCCATGATTGCGCATATAGATTTTAGTTCGGATAAGGAAACTCAATTTCTAGACAGCCATAAGCACACAACAGTCGAATAAGACAGATACTGAAGAAAACAATGAAAGGAAGGGAAAACTTGATAAGTTTGTTACTCACATTTGTTGGTTCCCTGGCATATGAAACCCAGCTGCAAAAAACAATTACTGCGATAAATCAGGGTTCACAAACAACAAACAAAACGATAATAAACACAAACAAAGGGAGATTAGAAAGCAAAACATAAATTCAATTGGTCTTCTTCGAACCAAAGCGAACAGGAAGAAATTGAGAATTTCAGAACAACAAAGAGGAACAGATTGAAGAACAAAACAGAAATATTAAATTGATTTTCAGTAGTAACTCAGATTAGGTTGGTTTCAGTCTCAAGTGGCAATTTTGTCACCTTCTTGCCCCCCCCCCCCCCCCCCCCCCCCCCTCACCTTATCTCTTGTTAGCATTGCCCATCTGGTAATCCCACAGTATCATATTCATAGCTCTACCCCTCTTAAAGATCAAAACTTGTGAGTGCTTTCAGTCAGAAAAGTATGTTCTAAAGTCCTGCTAGCTCTTTACTCTTTGGTTTTTGCTTATCCCAGAAAATCCTTCCTAACCTGAAGATGGCCTGCCATTGACGGTGAATGGGACCTTGTGTTTGCTGCTGCTCCATGGTTAGCATGTGCCTGCAACAGTAAAATCAAGTGCAGTGAGAAGCAAGTTCATTTTTTGGGGTTGCGGTAGGAGGAAGATCAACCGGTGAACTAAAGAGAAAATAGAGCTCACCACCGTCGACCTACTTTTCCCCGTTTAAGGAGTCGTGTCCATTCCAGCTCTGGCGGAAATTAAACTGAAACTGCATACCTCTCGTTGACTTTTCTTGTGCTTTCTGGTCTTTCCCCCCTCCTCTGTAGCCACCGAGCTTCTCCCACATTCCATCCTGAACATCGGCGATTCCACCAACTGGCACCCATTCCTCCTGCTGGTCCATCATCACCACCACCGTCATTTTCCGTTGTTCCTACCCATGGATAGGGCTCGAGTATGAACTCGACGAAACCATGCCATCGGAATCTTAATTGCTACCGCCGTGTTCTGCAGCGAGAGTCCAGAATCGAGAAGGTTAATTTCAAATATCGACAAAGAAGACTGAGAAATAAGGAGCTCACCGTCACAGGCGATTTGTCCACCGCCGTTGTTCCAAATCGATTTCGTCTTCCTCCGATTTCGGGTTCGGATTGCATGGCTACCAACAGGGAGGAAACTTTTAGGGTTTTCGTTGGAAGAGAGAAGAAGGGGATTATGGAGGGGGAAATAGGGGGAACCATTTGTCTCCCACCAAGTACAATCGTAGCCAACTTGTGGGGAAAGAACAACACTATAGAAGCATAAGAAAGACACATGGGTTGGATGTACAGGAAAGGCAAATCGGAGTGACGAACTGACGACGGGAAGCGTGCCCTTCCGGATTTTCGACTCCAAAAGTATAGACATGGGCTTGATGTACGGAAAGCATGGTAGAGTGGACAGGGAAGGAGAAGGTTTCATCTGTCGAGGCTAGTAGGCGGTAGCGATTCCGAAAGCAAGAGCTGGTCGCTGAACTGCTGAAGGTGAAGCCAGAAGAGGTTGCTGAGAGGGTGTACACAGAAAACGACAAAATAATCTATAGTAACCAGTATTCTTGGCCAATAAAGCGGACCCATCTTTTATGTTTTAAATAATGACAAAAAAAAGACCATATATACAGTCCCAAGCTTTGGCTAAGTTGTAAACTCGACTCTCAAACCTCCATCCACTAACCCACGTCCTGAAAATCAGCAACCCCTCTAACCACTGTTGACCCCTGCAGTAGAACTACTACTAAATGACTCTAAACAAATCTATCCTTTAAATTCAGCTCTAAGAAACCACTAAACGACTCAGCAGCAATTCAAAACGACACACAAACCTAAGAACACTAACTTATTCCAACAGGAAGATCAGTTCAGAGTACAATTCTGTGTAGACGACGTTCTTCGTGCAGTTGGTGGGCAGGCTGCTATCATTGTGTATGAGAAATCTAAGACCCGCTGCAGACCGGACCCTGGAAATAGCAACATACAATTGGCCGTGACTAAAACCAGGTTTTGGTAGGAAGACTCCTGCACGATCCAGAGTCTGGCCCTGACTCTTGTTAATCGTCATGGCGTAACAAAGGCGCACTGGAAACTGCCTGCGCTTCATTGTGAATGGCCATTTATGTTCACTGAAGTTGAGAGAAATTCTGGGTACGGCAACAACTGTGCCCTCGTATGTACCGGTGAGTATAATCCCCTTAATGACATTAGTACCAAGATGTACTACCATGAGTCTGGTTCCATTACACATACCAGCAGGTGGGTCGATGTTTCTCAGCAGCATGATTGGTGTATAGAGTTTCAAAGACAATTTGTGTTCAGGCATTCCGTTGAAGACCAGAGAATTGAGTAACTCGACAGGGTAGAGATTTTCAAGCTCCGAATCATCTGTCGATTCGGTACACAAACTGTCTGTGCTGTAGTATGTCTTTGTTTCCTCAGGAATGCATGAAAGCACAGATGCATTGATTCTGGAAACTGTTTCATTTGTCGGTGTTATGACAGCGCGGTTCTTGAGAAAGGAAACTGACCTGTATGAGTCAAGGAGGCCATGGAAGACAAAATCAACAATTGGAGCAATTGAGTCACCATTAGGTGGCAGGACCAGACATGTGGGGATGTTGATCCAGGCTCGATCATTATTATCATCTAAGGAGGCAGCAGGCACAGTGTCATTTCCAACCGCAAGTACCCACCGCGGAAATGTCATGCCATCAAAAACCAGTCTTTCATTGATAACATCGTGATTGATGCGCATATTTTGCTGCAAACAGAGCAGATGGCAGTGCAACCATAACGGAGACCGGATGATTGATGCATTAAGAGTTTCCTCGCGCCCTCCACCGGGTATGACTGGCAGAGAGAATGATTAGTAATGATTGGTTAACTACCTACCTAATACGTTAAAGGGTAAGATAGGAATATAAAAAGTAATTAAATGCCATCATTAATTAAGGAACGAGAGAAAAAAGAAACTCCTCCCAACCCTAAACCCATTCGTCTTCGTTTTCTGGTTTGCTGGGCGGCGCTTGCTTTCCGGCGTCGTCGTCCCGTTCTCTCGTTTTTCGTCTGTCGTCGTCGTCTAAAAGAAGGCCGGTGACGTCTCGGCTGTCACCTTCTCGTCGCAAAGAAGGCCGGTGACGTCGTCGTCTCTTTCTCGTCTGCTTTCCGGCGTCGTCGGGGTCGTCGTGTGTCCTTCTAGTCTCGTTTTCCATGGGATCGCCAAGGCCAAGAGACGTTATTTTTCGTAAGTTTTTACTAAAACAGACGTATCTTTGGCTGCCTCGTTGTTTAGTAAAACAGACCAGAGTTGTTAACAATTTATGTTAATAACTTGGTGTGGGATTAATAATAATGCCTTCGTTAACTGTTAATATTTGTGGTGTTTTAATTAATAATCAACTTTGCATGTAATCAGGTCATTACTATTTTTAAACATATTATCAATATCTTCATAAACAGGTATTAACCGATAATACCAAATTATTAATAAAACAGACCAGAGTTGTGAACAATTTAAGTTAATAACTTGGTGTGGGATTAATAATAATCCCTTCGTTAACTGTTAATATTTGTGGTGTTTTAATTAATAATCAACGTTGCATGTAATCAGGTCATTACTATTTTTAAACATATTATCAATATCTTCATAAACGAGTATTAACCGATAATACCAATTTATTAATAAAACAGACTAGTGTTGTTAACAATTTAAGTTAATAACTTGGTGTGGGATTAATAATAATCCCTTCGTTAACTGTTAATATTTGTGGTGTTTTAATTAATAAGCAACGTTGCATGTAATCAGGTTATTACTATTTTTAAACATATTATCAACTAGTCACGGGCCCGGCCAGTTGGTCGGATTGCATCACCAATCATATAAACACCAATAGTAATTTGTATGCGACATAAATAGATTTTTTTGGCAGTATAATAAAATTTGAATCATTCAAATATTCAAAATATTCAAATTGTTTGGAAGAATAAAAGAATCTAAATTATTAAAATACTTCAAAAATTCAAAAGTCACATTGTACTATTCTCTAACATTTCAGTGACTAATCGGCTAAAATTGTTTTACGAAAATGAAAAACAAACCCTATGCAAGGGCACCAACTCCTAAAAACATTCTCAAATTATCCCTTTGTTTAATCCTCGTCGTTAGAGAATGTTGCATGTATTCTTTATAACTTTTTTGCATGTCCTCCATCATGAACAACACCATCATCTCCATTAATAATAATATCTTCATCTCTATTAGTGAGACATTTATCTACATTATCAATTGCCTCTTCCCTCTTCTCTTGCATTTCATTACTTTGCGGATCCGGAGAATATTTCTTCAATGCATAAAACCACCTATTGGTAGGAGCAATTGTGTTTTACGCAAAATCAACTTATCCTTGTATCTTACTATTTTGAATATACGAAATGGTTTGTTTTGTCGTAACATTATGTTATCAAATATTCGTAGTCGACAATCAATCAATGTTTTTTTATCATTGTCATAAACAATATATATTTCTATGTTAAGAAGTTTAATCACTAATTATTGACAGTTTGTTATTTATCTCATAGGCTTATGTTGAAAATTTTCAGCATATATAATGGTTTCTCAATTATCTTCTATATGCGGACTCATTGCCAACGTGGAGGTTTATACACTCTTGATGGAAGACATTATACCTTGATTTTTCAATCACAATACTCAAATTTATTATCTTATACAACATACATTAGTTGATTATTCTCAAAATTAGGAATAACTCTCAACCAATGCTTTTTGGTCCCTTATAGTATACCATTGTATTTTTTACCGAAAATGTTTGATCTTTGGATAAATATTGTTTATTCGAATTCAAGGCCATTGACACATCATCAAAGTTCTATAATTGACATGGTATTTTAGTTAATAATTCCTTACTGCCAGCACATGCTTTAAAAATTTAGATATTCTTGGTAAACATTTAAAAGCTAATACTTTCTTATTAGTATAAGTAATTGATAGGATGTGTCTATAATGCATCGCAATCATATGGTTCAAATCAAGGTTGTCAAACAGGTTTAGGCCGTTGAACTGATCAAACAAATGGTTTGAGTTTCAATGTTTGGATCTGGTGTCCAACTGATTTAAGCCATTTATCCATATTATAAAAATATACGTGTAATGGTAATAATTTAAGATTTTCATAACTTGATTATAATTTGATAGGTATCATACAATAATTCAACAATTAATATATTATTTGACCTAAAAGCTACGTTTTCCAAATATTAATAAGGCTGGTAGAGGACAAAAAGGCAACATTTTATCTGAGAGTTAGAGATCGATCAATGCATTCTTTCTCCCATGCCTATTGCGAATTTTGCTGTTCTTTTTTATACTCACCAAACTTGCAATTTATAGGGTAGATTGCTTGCGGAGAAGGAAGTGTCAACACATGTTACATTCGATACCACAAAAATGTTCAAATTATTTAATTACTCGCTCAATTTTGGACATGCTAATAACCCTATTTTTTTTAACTAAATACTTAACAATAGGTTCTTCCTTTTTTATTTAATTTTAGTGGAAGCCGATCATTTATAGTAAAATATTTGGAAACACAAAACATTACATGCAGAAGAATTTATGTTGTTCGAGTCAATAACATTCTATGAGATTTGTTATTTTCCCTAACAGTGATAAATAACCCAGTGATCAACACAAAAATTGATAATCTATAGATTGAATTCGAAACCAGTTAATGACTTGATTATTTGGTGGCAAATATGGAAAGCAAGAAATGAATTCGACTTTGAGAATGTTTTTCCTTCTCCGCTAGCAGTCTCATCACATGCAGCTTGTGAGCTTGAGGACTGGTCTAGTATTGGGGAAGATTCATTTTCACGTCATCCCTCTTAGTCAAGGTAATACCATAAGATCCATGTCCCTCCGTCGAGGATCTACGACAAAGTGATCTTTTGTGATGGCACTTTCAAAATCGACATCTAGTAGGCGAGCATTGCTGTGATTGAAAAGAATGCATCGAGGAAGGTTTACGACGGTAAAGATGAGAAAATCCTTGCCGCACAACTTAGGCTTTTGTGAAACGGCGAGAAAGACAAACTGCGAACTTTGCTCGGCCTTAATTACCTCATATTGTTTAGCTATTGTCGAAGCGTTGGGTAAACCAGTTGATGAATGGAGGGTGACTATGAACCATGTCAACTTGCTCTATTCCATGTTTTCAGATTTTACTGTCCATTATGTAAAAATGACTTCGGAAAGTTTAGGGTTGATGATGAGAACAATCAAACCTTCGTGAATCTCATTTTCTATTTGTGGTGGTTTTTATTTTTATTTTGTAAATCATGAATTAAGTCGGGAGTATCATGATCATTCTAGGTTGACTTTGGCCAGATTGAGAGTTTAGTCAAAGTCGAGTCAGCAAGGTGGGATCCACTATCATGGCAATCTAATGAATAATTGACGGTGAGGGCATGATTAGAAACTGCCTCATAGATCGGGTATTACGGTAGAAGAAATTATAGTTCATGAATGCTATAGTTTGCTTGACTAATATATTTTTCTAATCCAAAATATATCTAAATGGATATAATTTTATAAAGTACAATTAATTTAAATTTTATTAAAAATTTTATTGTTTGAATTAGAACACATTAAATATGATTAACTAAAAAGTAATGAGGGAAGGGAGTGGATCTAGTTTAAAGCTTCTCTTTTCTCATACATGAGGGATATATGTATGGGAGGAGTACTCAAGTTTGAAGTTTCCATCTCCTTCGAGTAATATGTGTTTCCGATGCCTTATTGGAAATAAGCAGAGGAAATCAGTTTTGTCTTTATTTAAGTGACTCCGTCCAGCTCCAGCAATAAGCTTTGTATTTATTTAATTGATTAATTGAGCTTAACAAAAGGACCAAGCTATCCTTCCGTGCTATGCGCACAACACAGGAAAAGTAAAATGGGATGGGTTATGCGAGGGAACCTCCTTATATAATTTGGAGGATATCTTCATAAACGAGTATAACCGATAATACCAATTTATTAATAATACTTGTTAACTGATAATACCAATTTATTAATAATCGAAGTGTTTAACTTAATAATCCACTTTGTACGTAAAAATGTTCGTTGTTTTAAATTATTAATTAAAAAGGACATGGCTAATAGTAAAGTTTGCATGAAAAATTTCATTGTCGATTTAGGTTAATAATCCAAGAAGGGAAGATTAGTAACGATGTTGATGGTTGTTAATAATTAATCCGAGAGGAATGATTATTAATTTATCGTTAATTGTTAAAAGTTAAAGTGTACAAGTTAATAATCGGAGAAGGAAGATTAATAATGAAGTGCCTTGTAATTGTTTATTTAATAATCGGAGAATGAAGATTAATAATGAAGTGGGTAGTTGTTAATAATTAAAGGTAATAGTTTTGTTAATTTGTCAACGTTGCAGATCTGAATGAAGTACCTTGTGATGTCAACTTGGAAGGTGAAGATATTTCCAATAACAATGACTTAAGCGAAGACGAGATTACAGTAGAAAATCTATATGCAGAAGGCGAAGGTTAGTTGACTAATCTTGTATATATGTGGAATGATAAAACTCGTGCCAGTGACGTAATATATTCAATGTTGCAGGAGTGGTGGATGATGTTCATACGAATGATGGTAGTGCTATACCTGTCATGGACATTCGTGATTTTAATATTGATAACATGGGTAAGTCGAATTTATAACAATCTTATTAACAAGTAAAAAAAATGCACCATTATTAACTAATTTCTTGATAATTTGTGTAGAGATAATACTATTCGAAAAAGGAGTAGGGCACAGAATAGATGGGGGGTGTCCAGCGAGGATGAACTTCAAGTTGGATAAACGAACCAACCTCTATTACATTGATGATTGGGTAGATGAGCACAATCATGAGATGCACGACCCATCGGCCAAGCATCTCCATCGTTCTAAAAGGAATATCACTGAAACTCAACTTTGTATTGCTAAAATGAACGAGGCTGCCGGTATAAAAATACGGGCTAGCTATACTACATTCTGCTTAGCTGCTGGTGGTAGGGAGAATGTTGGTTTCCTTCCAGAGGACTTGAAGAATTGCATTAGAACAGTGAGGGCGAAGACATGGAGTATGGGGTGGCCACATTCCTGTATCGACACTTTCAGGAGGAACATAGATGTGATCCCTCCTTTTATAGGGTGTCAGTGGACGTGAACGAGGAGAAAGTTGAAAACACAACAGGAAATGAATTCAATTAAAGATGCTAGTTGTGCGTTCACTCACCATCAAAATTAACATTTACCAAGCGCAAATAATCCTGGTCAATACTACGCATCTGCAAGTTAAGAACGAAGCCGAACCCATAACTTCGAAGTATAGCCGCACGACTTGGGCTAATATTCTTAACGATTTTGCGGACCCGAGACACACTGCACCTGATTGGTAAGCGATTGTCATCAGCTATGGGTGCATCTGCCTTTTTCTTCATAGGCTTACTCAACGGTGCAGACTTATGCGAAGTATTTTTCGTACGTGCCATATTATATTGTGGACCACTGTAAAAAATTATAAAGAAAGTCCACGAAATGATTAATAACCCATTTTTTAATAACGATCAATACAAAAGAAAATGTTAATAACGAACATGAGGTAGTAGTGTTGATAACGACCAATACTAGAAAAACATAACACGACAAGAATTGATTATGGTGTTCACAAAATTATCACGTTGGCAAAGAACATTACAAAAAAAAAAAAATACCAATGCAATTAAATAATTTACATAACAGCACAGATTCATTAATAATAAAAAGCAAAAGGTTGAGAGCGAGAACATATTGACTAACAATGTTGACCAAAACAACTTGTAAACGCCCACCGAATGATTAATAATAGATATAAAAAAGGTTCATAACGAGCAGAAATTGATTAACAATGGACACAAAAAAAATTAAAAATATTTCCCAAATTCGAAATGAATTTGACGTGCACAGATTGATTAACAATGAACACACAACACATTGACTTGCATGACAAATTGATTAATAATATAGAACGAAAAAGTTGAAAACGAGCACGTATTAATTAATAATATAGACACAACACGTTTTCCATATGTCCACAGAATGATTAATAATAGATTTTTTAATAACGATCAATACAAAAGAAAATGTTAATAAAGAACATGAGGTAGTAGTGTTGATAACGACCAATACTAAAAAAACATAACACGACAAGAATTGATTATGGTGTTCACAAAATTATCACGTTGGCAAAGAACATTACTAAAAAAGATACCAATGCAATTAAATAATTTACATAACAGCACAGATTCATTAATAATAAAAAGAAAAAGGTTGAGAGCGAGAACATATTGATTAACAATGTTAACCAAAACAGCTTGTAAACGCCCACCGAATGATTAATAATAGATATAAAAAAGGTTCATAACGAGCAGAAATTGATTAACAATGGACACAAAAAAATTAAAAATATTTCCCAAATTCGAAATGAATTTGACGTGCACAGATTGATTAACAATGAACACACAACACATTGACTTGCATGACAACATGATTAATAATATAGAACAAAAAAGTTGAAAACGAGCACGTATTAATTAATAATATAGACACAACACGTTTTCCATATGTCCACGGAATGATTAATAATAGATGCCAAAAGGTTGATAACGAGTGACAATTGACAGAAAAAAATCTGGAAACGTCCACAAAATTATTAATAACAGAAACCAAATAAATTAAAAATGGACCTACCATTGTACAACCCCTACTCCTACCATACAACGACAAACCTTAATCTCATGCATCGCCAAAACCCTAATCCCATGCAACATGCAACGCCAAAAACCCTCAAAATAGCGGCCAAAAAAATCGGAGACCAAAAAATACCTTAACACGCGGCCGCCGACGAGAGACTGAGAGTTGAAACGAGAGAGAGTGAGAACTCGAACAGTCGGCCGGAGAACTCGACCGGACGAGAGAGATGGAGAACTCGAATAGCGACGACGGAGAGAGAGGGCGAACTCGACCGGACGAGAGAGATGGAGAACTCGAACAGCGACGACGGAGAACTCGACCGGACGAGCGTCTTCAAGATGATTGCTTCAGGGACGACGGACTCGTGTTTGACGGAGAAGTCGACGGGCATATGAAGATAGCAGTAGCACTGCACTACCTTATCTAAGAGATGGAATGGTGGAATTGACTTCCCTTGGCATATGAAGATAGCAAACTTTTCCTATTCCTAGTATGATTAGGTACTGCACAAACTTTTCCTATTCCTAGTATGATTAGGTTATGCGTTGTTAATAACAAAATAACAACAGTATAAATAGCATAGCAATACCTCCCACAAACCCATTAAATTCGCAAAGCAATTCTTCCCATTCTTTAATTCTTTCAATTGCTTTCTGAGACTTTCTACGCCGTCCTCTGTTTCTCCGCAAACATGACCACCGGCGGCAAAGCATCCAATTCCAGGCGACGCGACTGGCCTCAGTTGCCCGACGTGCTTCTCGATTGCATCATGCCTCGCCTCACCAAACTAAGAGATGTCGTCAGCTTCCAAGCCGTCTGCAAGCCGTGGCGACAAGCCGCCGCCGTCCTCGCCCTGGAAAACAATCGACCTCCCGGAAAATTCCGCCAAACCCTGCCGTGGCTCATGTGGCGGTGCAAATCCAAGGATTGCCACCGCCATCGTCCCGGCTGCCACTGCTTCTTCGATGTGACGGCGGAACACAACAACACCCTCGTTTGCCGCCACATGAATGTAGCTGGAGACGGCCCATCGGCGTATGGACGACATACTACCCCGTCAACCTTCGGTTGGCTTCTAAGGGCAACCGAGCAGCAGCAGCGTTCCCTGTTCTTGTTCAACCCTTTCACCGGTAATCAGATCCCTCTTCCAGCGCAGGATGATCGGTCCTCCCCCGAGTGGAGATCGCACGTTTGGGCCTTTGCAATGTCGGCTGAGCCGACGAAAACAGAGGAGGAGGTATGCATCTTGATGATATGCTATGTCATCACCACCGATAGAAAACAACACCGCTATGTCCCATCATTCTGCAAGATTGGGGAACCGCGATGGAGGCCGATCCATTTGGCCGCGGAGGTCCACGAATGCAAGCTCAGCGGGATAATGGACATGGTGTTCTGGAGGGGTAGATTTCACTGCGTTTGTTTAGGTGGAGACATTCTGGTTTGTGATCTCTCCGCTGGGATCATCTCATGGGGTTTTCGTCCTCAAGTGCCTATTTTCCGGGGACGTGAGCAAATGCACCACAGATGCTACTTATTGGTAAGTCCGGGGGAGGAGGAGTTGATGTTGGTTGTCAAGACAGATGACCTTAGTGGGTATGATCAGAATCAGCTCTATAAGTTCAAGGTTTGCAAGATCGATGTCGACGGGAAGAGGTGGGACGAGGTCGCTAATACAGGCGATTACGCAGTGTTCGTAGATAGTTGGAAGGCTGTTTGTGTCTCTGCTAAAGACCATCCGGAGTGCAGGAGGAATTGCGTCTATCACCAGACAGGTATATATGATCTCGGCATCAAGAAAAACGTTCCGTTTTTTCCTTTTACAGAGGAAGAGGATCATGATCTAATAGTGCCTGCCGGATGGATTCTGCCATCTAATTATTAGTTGTTTGGGGGGGGGGGGGTTGGAGAGTTGAAATGTACTATTTCTGAGTACTTTTGATCACTTTATACGTCTGTATTTACTTTCATTTGTAGACCTAGATACGAAGAAAAATTAGTGTATGATGCCAATTGCAAGTATTTCGATTCTAACACTCATTGGAAGTTTGGCTGTGTAAATTTTCCATATTTCTAGTATACATGAGGTTATCACGAATTCATTAGTTTGTACTATCGATTGTTGCTTATTATCGTTTGAATGGTTTTGAGGGTTGCATTAGAAGATACTAGCAATGACCCGCTCGCTACGCTTCGCAATTCACAAATGAGCAAGAATAAAATATTAAGTCGAAAAGAACTCAAAATTATTATAACTAACAAAGAAAGGACGATAATAATTCACTATCCAACACACGGTACTAACAATAGAAGTCTGCATATTGGATTATAGAAATAACATTGACAAATCTTTGAGTCAGTTGGCACTTATAAGTTACAGCACTAAGTGTTAACCTAATTGAATACAATAGAGAATGAAAGGGGAAATGAATTAGTTGGTCTTGTCAATTCCCTATCACACTCTCCTTCAACATGCTACTTTCACTTTGCTGACCCCTTCCTTTAAGGGTGCCCGTGAGCCACAGTATCCAGGAGTATTCCAGCACAGAAGGGAACTGCAACTTGTAATCAACCAAACAACCAAGGAAAAAGAGGGAGAGAGCTGGCATGAAAGGTGAAACTATAAAATAAAACACAGAAAAGGAATAAAAACACGAACCAAATGCTAACTTGTTGAAGTCCCCAACTTTGCATCTGATCTGCAGCGGCAATTGTGATTATTAGGTGACATCAATCAATCGGGAAACTATAACAGTTTTTACATAGGCAACATAACAAAAAGCATCATAACCGCTTATCCTTCCCCATTAATCATTGGAAATAAAGCCTTGCTCCTCTTGTTTTGAAAAGCAAAGAAATGAAAGAACTATATGTTTAAGGAAGGAGTGATATGTGCAGGTTCATACTTAAGGCAGTATATCAAAATGGCATGACCGATTGACTGAGAAATCCTTCCTATGTCCTTCCCCTCCATTCTTTCCATTATAGTAGTCATACTAATCTCTTCCCTCTTCAATTGTAGCCAACCTAGCACAACTGAAACAAAACATATCAAAAGTAAAAACCTTCTGATAGGGTACATGTTTTACATTCTATAGAGCAAATAGAAACTGCAGTTGAAGATATTTTCTGATTCTATGGTTACAAATTATTTGCTGGTGACATGCTCTAAGGATACCTTGAATAAACATAATCACGTTCCAATCAATCAACCAACATATTAGAGTGGCAAAAAAAAAAAAAAATTTGAACTGTTTCACTTATATAAAAATTCATACTTCATTCACAAACACCAAATCATGCAATCCTCGACTTGAATAACAGCTTGTGTCTGGATGTCATAACAGGGTATTCTTGAAAGAACATCCATTCCCGGGCTCCGGTTAGCTTTCATATATAAGTTCCACAAACAAATATAAAAAACGTGAAACGGTTACATGCCATGGTAGAATGAAACATAAAAGGATGCCTGAAATATAAGAGAAGATAACCTTGCTTACCCCAAGACGCTAAAATGCAGGAAATTAGTTTATTGTATGTAAACAGATGAACATATATAGCAAATTAATTAAAGTAAACCCGGGCTTGCTTATATAGCATTACTTATGGTGGCCGAAGAAATTCAAAGCCAATGAAAGTGATTAACCAATATCACCTATTCATTTAAATCAGCAAGCATTAAGGTTTATTGATTTGGTGAGGCACCTTTCATGGAGCTTGTCAATGACCACCCGATGAGGGAAAAACAGTTCTTTGGCTCAGTTGGATCTACTCAGGACTCCAAACATGGAACTATAATCGTAAGGAGCAAAAGCATTGAACTCGAGAAATGAAAAAGATTTAGCTGCATCTAGAAAACAAATGTGTACCCTTGTAAGACTATCTAGTAGTCAGACTGTAGAATTGCGATCCAGTAAAGCTATCAAGGTCCTTGTCAACTAAAGACACCAGCATTGTGGTTTTTCATAACTTGTCAACTCTATTGGCTCAACTGCTCTCCAACAGGGCATCAAGTCAAAGCAAGATAGCCTCAAATTCCCATGCTGATCTGAGCAATCTCCATATGAACAAACTCATATGACTCATATAAGCTGAAAATGAAACAAAATGGAACGTAAAGAAATATGGAACTCGCCACTAAGATGTATCTTATCAATACAAACTGAGCTGAAGTATCTATGGAATAACAATACAGTTCTAGAATAAGAAAAGGACAGTCATGTGGAAATAGGTTCTTTATTAAGCAAAAGTGTTACTTCCAAGTAAAGAACCTGGCAATTGAAATGAGAAAAGGTAGGCAAATCTGAAAGGGTTCTACCGGATCATCTGAAGGGTTGACAATTAGCAAATAAGGCCAAGTTTGGAAAAAGAAAAAGCAGCAGAAACGGCAAGCATAAGTTGAGAATAATGATTTGCTTTGTAAATCAACCATAAAGAGCAATTCCTTTGAAAAAGTGCAGCAATAAGACTGACAGATTGGACAGAACATATTACTTTCTAAAAAGTTTGGGTGGCTGCTGATAGTTACTTAGCAAGTTTAGTTGTTGAATCACCTTCTGAATAATAAAGTGTCACTTGTGACAGTCATTTCTTCTCCATCACTCTATAAGGCTAGGTCAATGCTAAAGCTGCCATCGAGAAGACTCAGCAACAAAAGCATAAAGCACTCTCATATACGTTTTGCCATTCGTATCCTAAAACCTGGTGAGCAATCAAAATGAATGGAGAGAGGATTAGATCTACTTTGAGTTCCAGCTGCAAGCTATATGGTAAAAGTATCAAGAATAAACATGAACAACTCAGCATACTCGGGGAATTGCCCAAGGGAACTAAACAGAAAAGTAAAGGGCTAGCCAAGAGCTAGCCTTCCAAACTAAAACAATACCCTATCATCGTCGAACATGAATCCAAAACACTTACCTGATCTTCGCCTTGTAGCTTCCACATCCATCAAAGAACTGGCATTAGCGTGAAACAGCCAAACCTGCAGGAAAGACATGAGTTACATCAATCCCAAAATTTGGTTCCTCCTTGTCCACCTTCTTGTATCACACCTTTTACACCATTCCCAATTTCATCTTGCAGTTGAAATATAGTTGAAATCCAATAATGAAAAACGGCATATGCAAAAGTTCATTGAGAGGCATAAAATATGATTGATACCTGCAATGTGTCTCTCATCTGCACCAAGCAACATTGATACATGAGCATAAAGCTCATTCATGGCCGCTCCTCCTTTGATCCATACCCTGCAAAAATCCATTTCAATTTTTAAATGTACCCTAATTCTGCAATCTCTTTGATTTCATATCTAAACAAAAAATCCATATGCAGAAGTTACTTGAGAGCACCAAGCAACATTGCAACATGAGCATCATGGCACAAAATGCATTTTTTGCGTCAACCTTAAGGCTGTCAAATTCAGCCCAAAAGATCACGTTCAACATCCCCAGAACCTAAAAAGAAAAAAAGACACAGATCCAATTCCCGTAAACATCTAGGAATTACAAAGGACCAAATCACTATCAGAATCAATTTCACAACCAAGAAAACCAATTTTCAAGGGAAACAGAAAGAAATCAGTTCATTGAAAACCATGTATTGGTAATCAAAACATTGGCATGTTCATTCATTACAGTCACAATTTTAAAAACTTCATCCTCAAAGAAAAGAGTTCGAGCTGGTACTAAATGTTTCCAGTTTAAGAATGAAAATCTGAAAAATGAGTATTATGAGTCACCCAATGTAAACAGGGAATAGAGTTAGGCCGTGAAACTCGTAAAGAAAGCAAAAGCACTTCAAACAGCAACCAAATGGATCCTTTTTGCGGAAATGACCTGACATCAACACCAACTCAGCAAAAGCATAGGAAATTCCAAACCAGACTAAACCTGAATCGACAAACTTCCAAGCACGTTGAATCAAAAAGCTCTTGTGGCGCTCCCAGCTTATTGTCGAACCAAGTCACTCCCAACAGGTCCAGCATCGCTTCCGTCTCGTTTCATGAGTCGATTCTTGCTAGTGTGGCGCAACCAAAGGGAAATGGGGTACTGTACAAAGCAACTACGATTGCAATGAGAGAGACCCAATAATCTGGTAAAGTTGAGAGAGGAGAGTAGAAGGGAAGTCACCTCGTGTAAGCGTGGAGTTCTTGTAATGTTGGGATATATCTTCTCCCTGCTTCTTGTGCTATGTCACCCTTCTCCGTCGTCACTGGCCGATCGACCCAATCCCATGGAGTGATCTCCCTTTGTCGGAGATTGCATCACTGCTGCGTAACTCACCGAGCTAGAAACAGAATGATAACAAATGACTCTTCATCTTCTTTCTCTTTTACAATGATTCCCCTCTTCTTTTTTCATTCTCCAACAGTAGGAGAGAGTGAGAGATTGAGACCTGGGATTCCTCCAAAAAGAGTATGCAACGATTCCACTCTTCTCGTTCTTCTTCGACAGCAGGAGAGGAAGAGCGTGACCTGGGATTCTGCCGTATAGAGTATGCTTGCGAAACATGAGATTCTAGGGTGGAAGAGAGAGATGAGTTAGAGTTTGGGATTCAACCGAAAATGGCACAAAAGGAGATCAGCCATGGCAAAAGCAGGGTGAATGGATTCCAAGCAACAAAAGTAAATGAAGAGTTACCTATGACTGAGGAGAAGAGCACCCAAAAAATTGTGCAAGAGAGATGGCAAGTGAAAGCTTGACAGGGAAGCAGGTGAGGGAAGAGAAGGGGTGAAAGGATATACAGAGGAAGGAGAGAGGGATAGATGGTTGCGTATGAAGAGGAAGAGGAAGAGGTGGGGGATTGTCCAATGGGTAAAGCAAAAGCACAGGGTTTCTTTGTTAACGAGTGGGGTAAAAGAGATTGGCAGATCCAAGGTTGTCAACCCGCGTCCCGCGGGTTGACGCGGATCCGGTCGAGCTAGTGGGTCAAAGGTTAATGGGTCAACCGTTTTAGCATGGTTTGGCCAGGAAATATAAAAAGAGTCATTATATTGTACTTATCCTCATAAATTATATCAAATCTTATCTAACATATTAGTTATAACATATAATATTACACCAAAATAACATATCGTACTTAGATCCAACATATAGTGAAAATTCACACACACTTCTATAACATAAATATTCAAATGTTCAACTTAGTATTCAAAAGATTGAGTTAGGCGAACAGAAAAATTGGAAAATAGGCGCATTTCGCAAACTAAAGAAAAAAATGATACAATTTGACCT